GCCTTCCCCAGGCTCCGGAGTCTTTCCTCGAGCATCTGGGAGGGTGAAAACTGCCTCCCTCGGGCTCTGGAGGCCCTCTGGAGATCGGAAATGGGCCCGTTTCTGGCCTTCTGGAATTTCTGGGAGGCTCGTTTCTCCCCCGCCCTGAGCTTCCGTGTGGGTCCTGCCCTCACCTCACATCCAAAACGGCCCGCTTGGAGACTCTGGGGAGGGGAAGGAGGGGCCAGCCAGGGGTGGGATTTGGGGGTTCTATGAACCATCCATAACATTAGCTATGGATTCTCCCGAACCTTGGCAAACTCCTAGCAGCCCACACCTGGACCTACCTCTATCTGATTCCCTGTATCCAGGTTTCCCATGGGAGGCTCCTCCAGATAAATTAGGATGATATAAAATATAAAAACTGGCCCAATGTTAGTAGGATACACTATCAAAACATTTTTATTCATTTTTGTCAAGCTTGTATCAAAGCTTCAAAGATTCTCCATTCAGAAAATTAAATATTAAATATTTTAAAATAGTTACAGCAAACTTCATACAGATACAGAAAAGCAACACACCCACACACCCCCGGAATGGCACTTCACCATCACTGTTCATGGTTTTCAGATGAGCCACACGGTAGGTGACCACTCCAAATAATTAAAAACCTGTATTTCCTTAAAGGTTTCCTCATCATGGAACAAATGCCAATTCTTAATAAACTAAAGTGATAAGAGAAATTCAGAGCTAAAAAGATGGTATTATCCAAGGCCATTCTTATCCGTTACTGTGAGCTAAATATATGATGTTTATCTGTGTAGTAAAACCTGTCTAGCTGTTTCTTTCTTTCTTAAGCAGTTTTGGATCTAAAGTGTTTATATTAATCACCGAAGAGATGACTAAAAATCTTCACACAGCCAAGCCTGTGTTTACAGATGGAAGTCTATTTTGAAACCAAATTTATTGGCACTGATCAATTGACTTCAGACATTGACATGTAACCAAAATCGCTTTCCAACTCACAAAATAACCAAAAAGGTCGCCATGTTTTTTTTAAAAATCTTAACCCTGAATTACAATATACTTCTGTGTAAAAGGAAAGAGACTTTAACATTTGAGAGCATACATACATGTGTCTTACAAAGCTAATCTATCATCTTGAACAATTAAAAGCAATTGACGAGGAAAATAAAATTTAAAGGATTTCCAGAAATGTTTAATGTACACCAAGTTGATTCCCAGATTTCATGCATTTATTGTAAGGATTTCTTGGTTGGGAGTTAACTCACTGCTATCTGGCACTGTTTTCATTTAATGTACTCAGATTTTAAACTTTGTTTCTGGAAGTTAAACCTAAAAAAAGAGAAGTAGTTCTCTTTGGCAAATTCCTACTTGGGAAACTAGAATAAATTAAAACTTCCAATTTACTAACATGCTGGTCATTAGAAAAAGCCTTGGTTTTACCCCCCACTTAGCCCTCGGGGGGAAAAAAATCTCATTTTAAAACAGTGAAGCTATAAAATACGATTTAGAAAACACATTTACATACGCAATTCAGTTTACTAGAAACTATAGTCATCACTTCAACAGAATTTCTGCTATCGGTGACTTTTGCTGCTTGTCAATACCAAAATGCCAAAATGATCTAATTTCCTTTTCTAACCCAAATGCAAATGGCAAGTCTCCCTTTTGTTCCTCCAAATTCTGGGATAGTTGAAGATGATGATATTGTTCTGGTGGGCGGTAAACCGTGAGAGATGACTTCAACGTTAGTTACTGTCGTTCGTTCCCTCGGCTGAACAGAGTATTATCCTCATCGCATATCGAAAGGGGAGCGTCCATATTTTCCAACAAAGTGTGATGAGACTCATAAGCGTGCAGAGGCAAGCTGGGTTCTTTTTTAACGGAAGCCGCCAACTGGTTCCAGGTAATGCTGACATTTTTGAAAGCGTGGAGGAAGAAAATGCCAATGATGATGGTGAAGAATCCACTCAAGGTCCCGACGATATCTCCAAGTTCCATGCTGTTCCATTCTTTGAAGAGGATCACGGAGCAGATCACCACTGTGGTGGTGAAGCACACATAATAAATGGGGGTGACCAGAGACGTATTAAACACATCCAATGACTTGTTGAGGTAGTTGATTTGAGTACTGACGGCCAGCACCAAAATGACGGCTAAAACATAGAGCAGCGGATTTCGGAAGACTGGCTTCTGATAGAGCATGTCCTTAATAGCGATGCCCAGGCCTTTGACGGAGGAGACGGAAAAAGCCCCAATCAGGGAACAGATGGAGATGTAGACCAGTATATTGGTCTGCCCAAAACGTGGAGCGACAACAAAAATAAGTACCAGCGAGGTCAGAATTACAACGGCGGCAAACACAATGAAGACTGCAGGGAAGGAAAATAACTACATGTTAGGACCAGGGATAGGCTGCTGGGTGTTTGCANCTTTCTCTCCCTCTCTATCCCTCTATCTACCTACCCACTTTTTTAAAAAATTGCCTCTTCAAAACCTTGGTGAGACTTATACTCTGCTGCGTGTTATACTTAGAAAAATATGGTATTTTGCGCAGCACTTATCAAAACCTTTTCTTCCGAGACTGAATGCTATTTTACTTCCCTCACTGAGTGACATACGCATGTATGAAAGCATGGCATGAAAAGTGTCTTTCCTCACACAAGTGTATGAATATAAGGAGAGTCTGTGACATTGTAGCCAACCCCCCCCCACACACACACCAAAGAATAGTGACAAAGAACATTCATTGATTATATTAACAACAAACTATCTTCTTACGGGTTCCCCAGGTGATCCCGGCTTCCCGTCTTTGCCATCCTTCCCAGGTACACCCTAGAAAAAAAACCAAGCAGATAAACAAAATTAAAGATGCAAAGCCACTCTGCAATATTTTTTTGAGAGATGGTTGTGAGGCGGGGGGGAACTGAGCAAAGATTATTAATTTAGGAAAATTAGAAAAAAATAGATTATACCCAGTACCGAACCTGCCAACTCCATGCTGTGGAAAAGCCACAGAAAGGGGGGGGGGGGAAACTAGGTTGTATGAAAAGGAGTAAGTCAAAACAATTAACTAGGGTTCATTGGTTCAGCCAATCAAATGCATAATGTACACGCACACTAAATAATATTTCATTTATCTAAAATGATGCATCCCTTTTCATAGATAAACACCTCAAATGCATTCGGCCATGCTTCTAACAGTGGAGTGGTTAATGAGTTCATTGATGGTGTTTATTGCAAATTAGTTCCATGCTAATATGATGATGGTGTTATCCATTCAGTCAGAATAACAAAGTTGGAATGGATCTTGGAGGTGTTCTAGTCAACCTCTTGCACAGTCATGAAACCCTATACTATTCTAGACAAGTCGTTATTCAATCTTTTCTTACAAACTTCCAATGTTGGAGCATTGACAACTTCTAGAGGCAAGTTGTTCCACTGAGTAATTGTTCTAACTGTCAGGAAATTTCTCCGTCAAATTTCTCCATCAAGTGTCCAACTCTTGGCGATTCTATGGGCCACCAGTCTCTCCAGATCTTCTGATTTTGTACTATTTCTTTGAGTTGTTGCATGATCTGGCTTTGATGGTGTCCAGTCACCACGTTCCTTGGTGGCCTGGTTTCCTTTTATTGTTAGACCTTCCAAACACAATTGCTTTCTCCAGTGAATTCCCCCAGATGACATGGCCAAAATAAGTAAGACACAGTTTTGTGATTTTGCCCCATGCTAACATAGGTTCAAGGTGGCTCAGTGGCTAAGACACTGAGCTTGTCGATCAGAAAGGTCGGCAGTTTGGTGGTTCAAATCCTGAGTGCCGTGTAACGGAATGAGCTTCTATTACTTGTCCCAGATTCTGCCAACCTAGCAGTTCAAAAGCACATAAAAATGCAAGTAGAAAAATAGGGGCCACCTTTGGTGGGAAGATAACAGCGTTCCATGCTCCTTCAGCATTTAGTCATGCCGGCCACATGACCACAGAGATGTCTTTGGACAGCGCTGGCTCTTTGGCTTTGAAACGGAGATGAGCACCGCCCCCTAGAGTCTGGAATGACTATCACATATGAGCGAGGGGAACCTTTACCTTTTTAACATAGCTTCACACATTCATACACCTGGCAAAAATCAATATTCTGCTTGACAGGATGCTTTTTAGTGTATATACTCTTCCAGTTAGGATTCTACATTTTGCTAACTCAGCCTCCGAGGTTTTGTTTATAACCCTATACTAAAATTCAAACCACCCCCATGCCTCATAGTTCTATTATCTTTCACCGCAAGGTGTGTAATTAGAAAATCCATCATTATTAGTTAAGATCCAGAGCCACAGCTAGATTCATGAGTGCAGAAGGGATTCATTTAGAGGGGTTGGAGATTGAGGTTGACCTAAGTCATCACACACACACTTCAGTCTTTCTTTTTTCTAAAGATAATTTCACATCTTTTTCCATTAGATGTCTAAAGATGATAATACACTTGAGATCCTGGTTCCATGGTGGATATAATCTGGAGCCATTTCATACATGGGAGGGCATCACCAGTTTGAAATCATTGTGTCTCCTATATCTTCTTGACCTTAGAGAATCTAAAAACTAAGTTAATTAACCATTGGTTCATTTTCTGGCTGTAAACACTGTGTGAGGCAGTTTGTAGGGTTCCTCCAGAGCTGTTTAGCAAGGACATTTAGTTAGTCAGTGCTCCAACACTGGAAGTTTTTAAGAAGAGGTTGGATAACCATTTGTCTGAAATGGTGTAGGGTTTCCTGCCTAGGCAGGGGGTTGGACTAGAAGACCTCCAAGGTCCCTTCCAATGCTGTTCTTTTGTTCTATTCTAAATATTGTTCATACTCACCATAAGTCCAGGCAATCCTGGGGGTCCCTGAGGTCCTCGTGGACCTTCTTTCCCCTATGGAAGATGATAATGTGTTAGAGTCTTCAAGGTGCTTGGATGAGGAAGACCTGAGATCAAGTCCTTGCTTTCTACAGTCATTATTCCAAGTTCTGTCTCTCCCTCAGACCTGAAGAACTACAATAACTTTCTGAAAGACATATGCCATCCCCATCCATCCCTCTGCCATTTTTTCCCCAAATTTACCAACAAGATCAATTCAGAGAAAGAGAGCAAAACTCCAGAAGTCTTTAGAAATCTCTAAAGTGGACAGTTTTTGTCAGGGTATGAGAGTTCCTGACTTGGCAGAGACGTGGTGGTAACAAGGTCAGCCAATGAATAGACAGGGCAACTGGGTCAGACAATGAGGGCTGTTTGGAAACTGAAACAGTATTTGCTGTGTGAGCAACAAGGAGACAGCAAGGAGCCTGGGCGTGGCTTAGCTCAAGTCTAAAGCCACAAACTAGTCTGCTGCTCTGAACTGAAACTGTTCTCTCCTCTGTTGGTGTTTGCTTGTATATGCTACCATGTTGGAAGAACCTGCTTTTGGTATTGTATATGTTGGGAGTATACTCCTAGTGTTGGGTAGGCAATATAGATTCATATACAATACCAAATGGTCGATGTTGCTTTAAATGGGTGAATGTACTTATCAGCTGTAATTAACTTTACAATCAGCTGTAATTAACTTTATAATCAGCTGTAATTAAGTTTGCAATAAGAGGGAGTCAGGAAAGCTCTCTCTCTCTCTGCTTGTCCTATGCTTGATGACTACTTGCTCGGTTGATGACTGGAACGTAAACTGCGACT